TCTAAACAGTGCAGGAAAGAGAAGAAAGGTGTGTCTGTAGGTTTTAGAAAGGAGACAGCTTTAACCTGGAATACCTCACAAGGGGGTTTGTGTTTCATTTTGCTTTCTTTCCTCACACCACTTCTTCTCTGATTTGGATGCAAAACTTTTCTCTCCTCCTTGAAGTCCCATGTCATAAAAAAATTAACTCCTACTTAGCCCCTATGAAAATCTCTGCAACTAGGGCTAATCTCCCTAAAGCTAAGAGTCCTGAGGGCTCCCCTCACATACACCTGGACTCCCCAAGAAAGCCCAGGGTCCTTTAGCCTGATCAAAGAGACCGGCATGTGATCCCCAGACTTCTAAACTTGACTCTCTACCCTGAATGAGTTCGTACAGTGACCCAAGGTAACGGGAACAGTTGTGGGCAACAACTCAGCTCCTGTTTGCGTCTTTACAAAAAGGATAAGTAACGTACATTCTTCTAAGGTTTACCTGAGTCGTGCTGGACATAGTCGCGTATACCCTGAAATTCCATGTATAAATACAAGCACTAATACACCACATGGTGATGAGGGGTCACCTCCGGAGGTGCCCCTTCACTTGGGTTGTGTCAGGTTTAAAAATTTGTGTGTGTCTTCTGAAAATGAACAGAAATATCGAAAGACTTCACCCTTTCTTGGAAAAGCAGAAAGATAAAACGGCTGTTTTGCTGTTGGCGTTCTAACAATTGTGTCCTCTTGATGGTTATCACTCACCAGTCCTCCCGGCTCCCAGGAGGAAGCTGTGGCTGGGAGAAAACGGGAATTCTTTTTCTCTTTTTGTTCAATCTCTTCTGCCAAACAAGGAACTCAGTTTTCAAAAAGCATGTGTTTTGAGGTCTCCTCTATTAAATGGGAGAGTTAGGAAACCATTCCCACTGGCTCTTCAGAGGGTAACTCATTTGAAAGATCGGTAACTATACACAACATGAAGAAGGCCCTCAACGGACTAAGCCAAATTTCTACTTTAAGAAATCTAGGCCTCACTCACCATCCACATGCACTATCTTTTATGTCTTCTCAAGTGAGTCCAGACTCCACTGGGGAATCTGACCAAGCACAGAATTTCATTTCAGAGAAATGACTACAGTCCATTGGCCATAGTCCAGGAGAAGAATCTGCTATTGGTTGATTTGATTTTGCCAGGCTAACCCACTAACACAGCTCCCAATGAACTGTTTTAACTGATAATTAGAATTCGACTCCTCCAGTGGGTAGGGAGGGAGGGCTGTGGGCACAGACAGCGGCAGGGAAAGATGAGGTGCAAAAAACACAGCTTTCCCGGCTACCCTCTGTCTTTGAATCTGAGGAAACGGATGTCTTTGGTCTCTCTCATTCAGATCACTCGAGCTGAGTTAATCACTTCGGAGATTCTGGGCTGCCTAACAGCTCCAGGGGTGACCCAACTCTTCCCCAGCTGCCCTATGAAACTAGGGCCTCAATTCACCGGAAGAGCTGAGCTATGGCTATGAGCAGGTCACCAGTCTTCCCCCTTCTGGAGAAAACCAGTATTCAAGACATGAGCCATGAAAGCTCAAGACCTAGGAAGGGGACAAAAAGCTTAAAAAAAAAAACCAACCCACCAACCAAACAAACAAACAAAAACCCGATAAGATAAACCTAAGGAAAGAAACTGAAAAGATAGTCACTCCATAATAGGCAGTTTTGTTAAGTGCACCTTCAAGTCCACAAGAAACACTTCAACTCATCCCTGTGCAAAGGGGAAGAGCTGGGTCAAACTTTGCATGCTGATGTGATACAGACAAGCCCTGTCCTCCAGTCTTACTCACTTGGTTTTGATGAGCTACATACAGATGAAAAAAGCAGCATTCGTTTTCCCCAAACCACCCACTCTCCTACCAGCAGCTCCTCCCGTCCCGGGGGGACAGGTCCCCTGCACGCACCACTGTTCCCTGTAACACATGCAGAAGGACCCAGCCCGTGCAGCGTGTGGCTGTGAGAGGCGAACCCCACAGCCAAAGCGCATCTTTTCAGTCCTGGTCCCATTTTCTCATTTTCTGTCCCATCCCCCACAGTACCGGGCAGATTATTGCTGTTGACAGAGTGTAGCGTTTCAAGTTGGGGGTGGGGGAGGTGGGTCCTGGACCTCAAAGTCTAAATAAAAAGATCAAGATAAGCCCCGGGAGAGGTGGACGAGGTTGGCATTTTTTTTTCCCAGTGGGAGATTTAGAAGCAGGTAAGAGAAAAAGCCAGGATGAGTCAAGTTTCAAGGAAACACCCGGGGGAGGGTGGGTGCCCTAGGGTCGGATGCCATGCAGTTCTTGGCCTCCATCTTCCTTGCTGCGTGCCACATCATCTTACAGATTCACAGAAACCGCACAGGAGAAGAAAACATCCACGTTCTTTTCTTTCACAGAGTCAGCAGGCCTGGGTGTAACTCCAGTTTCTTGATTTACTGCCTCACTGCCTAGGTGGAGGGGAGGGGTGGAGCCACAGGGAGTATTTCCGGAAGCAGCAGCATAGGAATGAAAGGCGTTGGGCGGCAGGCAGCCACATGCTAAGTGCAAAGTGAGGGTCCCCACATTGGGTCTTTCAAAAAGCCACGAGTGCCTCCCCGTTGATGGACGGCTGCTGGCCTCCAAAGGCCCCGGTGGTGAGGCTCTCTGTCAGCTAAGCACAGGGTCCCCACTGTTCTCAGGATGGAGTGTAGGGGGCAAAAGAAGTTAGATGTTCAGCCTGCAAGTTGACCGCCAGGTGGGACTCTCATAGGAGTATCCTTGGGAATAGCTGAAGAGGGATGGGCCAGGAGGGAAGGCCGGCAAAAGGTTGCTCTGAACCGGGTGTGCCTACATCCACAATGATGCCTGCAAAGCTCAGACCATCAGAGATGGCAAAGTGCTGCCACAGACAGAGGGGAGGACAGAAATATGCCAGGATGCTAGGGTGGACCCGAGGAAGCCTTGCTTGTCCAGAGGGACCCCTGGTGGGAAACAAATTCCTCACAAGTTTATATTGGCTTCTGGTAGAAAAGAGGAAGAAAACCAGTTTACGGTGCATGTCCAGTTGGAAGATGGGTCTTGGGCCCCAGTTTTCATCCCACATCAGGCTGCCAAGGGGACTGAGTCCAGTGGATGGTCAGAGGGCATCTTCGCAGGTCTGTGCCGTCCGAGGTGCAGGATGGCGTGGTGTCCCCACAGCGGGGAGTGAGACAGCCAGAGTGGCAAAAGGAAAAGCAAAATCTCTGTGCCCCCAACCTCCCTCCCTCCCTTTCTGTTACATAACTTCTCAGCTGTGTTAATGGAGGCACTTTCTGCAGTTCGCTGTGGGTACAGGATAAAGGCACTAAGCAACTATTAAATCAATTGGTTGAGTTTCTTCAGGGAGCCTCAGGGGGACGGCCGAAGTCCCTACAGACTTCAAATCAGGACTGCCAAAGGAAATCAGCTCGGCTTTGGGTGCATACAATGGAGAAACTTTTTTTTTTATTTACATCTCAAGAATGCACCAAAAAAAACATGCAGTATTGCACCTTTGTTTGTTGGTTTTGCTTGTGTTTGTCTCTAGCTAGAAAGAATACTTGTCCTTAGGTGTTGCTATATATACCTTGATCACTTCGTTTTTCAACTGAACTTCCCTTGAAGGGATGGGCATATTGGTCCCCTCTCTGCCTAACTCTGCGCAGAAACCTGACATTTCCCTGAGCAAAGGCAGGAAAATTGACTAAGTGCTCCCCACCCCCACCCCCACCCACTATTTCTTTGGGGCCCTTCATCCCACAAACTTATAATTTTTATTATTTTTTAACGTTTTTACATTAACTGAATCATGCACTAACTAATTCAAGGTACACCTTAATCAAATCGGCCATAATGCTGAATAAGAGAACATGCTTGGAGCTCTGAAAAGTACTGTTCCCAGCTGACTAACATAGGTACTTAAATACAGTACTTTATTGACTAATAAAAAGAGTTAATAAATGAAGGAGTGCACTTTTGGTGAATGCAAATGAAGAAGAATCTATTTGTAGAAGAATCGATTCCTAAGTAAGCTTATCCCCTATTGTCTGAGTTAACGTTCTCAGCATGCGATTATAAAATAAATTAGGATCAGATTCAAACATGCTTACACTTAGTTCCATTTGTGCTCTCTTGCAACAAGGAGGCTAAGGTTTTACATCCAGTTCTGGAGGATGGGGGTCAGGGTGCAGGACTTGTGAGAAAAGACCCTTTGGGTGTATCTGCAGTTGAGAATCTTAGCAGCACTGCAGATGGATCAATGAATTGTGTTCAATTATCACTGTTTCTTAGAGAAGTGTTTGAATCAGAAAAGAATGGGGGCAGAGGGAAAAATCCCTACAGAACCAGGACCAGTATCAGATTTCTAAGGTGCTTGGTGAACCAGTCTTAAGTAATTTTTTTTTCACCTTGGAATATGCAGTTCGGTGGATCAAAATAAAAACATCTGTTCATTGCCCATTTTGGCTGGTGTATCATGTTACATACAATTCATCTGATGCACTGTCTTAAATATGTTGTGCAGTTTGCCAAGATTTCATATTAGAGTCCCATGCAAATTTTCATTTGATATTTCTAAGCAATCCTCTGATTCTCATTCAGTCACATGAAAAAAAAGTTAAAGCCAGCAAGAATTAAAAAATGGGAAGCACGTGATTCTTATTTTACCTTGACTAGTTCGTGGACTGAGTGATTTTAAACCAGTTTTAGAAAATACACTTTCTTTTCCCACTTTTTAAATAAAATGAAAGTAATTTCTTTTTTTTTTTCATGGCTCCTGAAATCTTCGGGTTTTCCACCCCCAACATTGGCAATGCCCAACACTGGCAATGCAACAATGCATCGACAGTTCAATGGAACGTCCCAAGCTTACTTAGTAAAGTATCTACAGAGAGTGACTTTGGTCACTCGGGGTTTGGTTTGATTTTTGGGGTTTGCTTGTTTTTTTTTTTAAGTCTTTCAAGCTGCTAAGTGGGGGCTTTTTAAAGTTTCTTTGCTTGGCTTTTTAAACATCAGTCAGTAGCTTGCTCTTATTAACGCAGTTTTGGTTAACTGTGGTACAATTGCCAGTTCTGATATTGGTCTGTCTAAAGTGGCCTATGCTATTATTCATATCCTCTTCGATCTCCATGTATTCAGATTTGCTGAGAGTGGACGAGCTGCGCCGACTGAGGTCACTGTCAGAGGCTAAGTTAGGGGCGCTAACGTGGAGCAACTGAGCCTGCTCTTCCCCCTCAGTTTCTCGGTGGTAGAAATAGTTGAAATTGGACACAATGACAGGTACGGGCAGGGCAATTGTCAGCACACCAGCGATGGCACACAAGGAGCCCACGATCTTGCCTCCAATTGTCACAGGGTACATGTCACCGTATCCTACAGTGGTCATGGACACCACCGCCCACCAGAAAGCATCAGGGATACTGGAAAAGTGCGACTCAGCTTCTTCCGCCTCGGCAAAGTACACTGCGCTAGAGAACAGTATGACCCCGATGAAGAGGAAAAAGATGAGCAGCCCTAGCTCCCTCATACTAGCCTTGAGGGTCTGGCCCAGGATCTGCAAGCCCTTGGAGTGGCGGGAGAGTTTGAAGATCCTAAATACCCTTACCAACCTGATGACCCTGAGGATGGCCAGCGAGGTGGCCTGCTCACCCTTCTGGTTCCCCTCCTGCTCTGCTATCTCGGTGCCCAGGGTGATGAAATAAGGGATGATGGCCACGATGTCGATGAAGTTCATGATGTTTTTGAAGAAGTCCGTCTTGCTGGGGCAGGCGAAGAAGCGCACCACCAGCTCGAAGGAGAACCAGATGATGCACAGCGTCTCGACGATGAAGAAGGGGTCCGTGAAGATGTTGGCGTTGTAAACCACCGTGGTGTTGTCCAGGCGGTGGACGGCGCCCGGGAAGTCCTTCTCGTCCTTCAGCTCGGGCAGCGTCTCCAGGCAGAAGATGACGATGGAGATGAGGATGACCATGACGGAGACGATGGCGATGACCCGCGCGGGCCCCGAGCTCTCCGGGTACTCGAAGAGCAGCCACACCTGGCGCTGGTACTCCTTCTCCGGCAAGGGCCGTTCCTCCTCCTTGATGAAGCCCTCGTCCTCGCGGAACTTCTCCATGGCCTCCTCGCCCAGCTCGTAAAACTTGATCTCCTCGGAGAACATGTCCAGCGGCACGTTGACCGGCCGGCGCAGCCGGCCCCCAGACTGGTAGTAGTAGAGGATGGCGTCGAAGCTGGGCCGGTTGCGGTCGAAGAAGTACTCGTTCCTGAGCGGGTCAAAGTAGCGCATGCGTTTCTTGGGGTTGCCCAGCAGCGTGTTGGGGAACTGCGCCAGCGTCTTGAGCTGCGTCTCGAAGCGCAGCCCAGAGATGTTGATGACCACACGCTCGCAGCATTCGTGGTCGTCGTGCTCGGCCGGCCGCGGGTAGCTGCCGTCCTGGGGATGGCCTGGGGCGGCCGAAGCCTCGTCCACGTTCTCTCCGGACATCACCGTCATGGTGGAGGTGGTGGGGGGGCGGAGACGGTGGCGGGAGGCGGGAGGCGGGAGGCGGGAGGCGGGGGACCGGGCAGGGGCGGGGAGGGGAGGGGCGAGGGAGGTGGAATGGGTGGCGAACCCGCGCGCCCTCCCCACCGGCGCTCCAGGGGCGGGGCTTTCGAGCCGGCAGGTGGAGATTGTCAGCCACTTGGCTCCTGGAGGCCCGCCCCTCCACCCCGCCTGCTCCTCGGTTTGGAATCCCTCTCGCCTGCCGCCCCGGTGCAGCTTTTCCGGGCGGGAAGGGGAGAGTTGGTGTGTCTTCCTGCTCCGAGGTGCCTTAACGCAGCGCCGTCCTAGCGGACCGGGCCATGGCTTCGGGGTCACCCCGGCCTCCCCTCCCCTCCGCGAGCCTTCCTAGGGCCCGGTGCGAAGCCGGCTCAGCGGACCCCCTCGCCCGCCACCCCTGCTGCTTCACCTTGGCTCTTCCCCCCTCCTAGCCCTCTTCGCCCGCCGCCTTCTAAGCTCCCACCGGGGCCATCGATGGACGCTGCAGAAAAATAGAAAGTGATACGGGGCAGAAGATCAGGAAGCGTTCACATGGGACGGACCCGCAGACACGGAAGAGCACAGACCTCTAGCTTTTTTTTTTTTTTTTTCCAGAAAGCACAAGACTTTGGCTAGGGTTGTCACAGACACGCAGACAGACACACGCAGACACCCGAGATCCAAGTTTGGGGCTCTTCCACCCCACTTTCCCCTATGCAATGCCCGACCGCCAATGTGTTTACAACTCGGTTAAACTAGAGATCGGAAAAGCGCCGAGAGACGCTGCGGGGAGCTCCGGATCCAGGCAGCATCTCCGTACCCCCACCTCCCAGTTTCTCCCACCCGTCGCCCCGAGCCCCGCTTCTGCAGACCCGAGCTGGGGAGCCCCCCTACCTGGCCGGCCGACTTGGCGCAGGGGAGGTGCTGAGTCGGCGGAGAGCCCGAGTGGGAATGCGGCAGGTCGGCTTTGCGGTACCCGGGCGCGAGCCGCGGCCGCCGCAGCATCCGAGGGGCGCCGGGGCCAGCGCGCCACCCTCGCCCCTGGTCCTGCTTCCTTCAGTCGGCCAGTTGCTTTACTGGGCAGCTACGGCGGAAATGTCCATTCCCTACCCCCATGCTCACCCGTGGCCGGCAGCCTGGAGACGCCACTGTGTCTCTTGTCTCTCTCTGTGTGCGGGGAGTTCCGGAGGCTGCGGAGCGGAAGAGCAAAATGCCACCCTCTCCGGAGCTCCAAAGCGAATGACGATACGGAGCGCTTTCGCCCCCTCCCAGCACCGTGGGAGCCCTTGATTCGATCCCGAAGGCGAGTGAGCTAGGGCCTGGATCTACATGGCTCGCGGGTCTCCCCCTCCGCCTCCAGCACACCCCCGCGCGCGGACCTCGGCGAGGCTACGCGGAGCGCTGGGAGCCGTTCGCAGCTCCGAGTGGGGCAGGGTGCGTGCGGCGCGGGTCCCCTCGGTCCATTTCTGGGCGCTGCTAGATCAGCAGAAACCTGAGAAAGCGCCCGGAATGCGGAGCAGCGATTGGCCCACCGGGGCGTGGGCTGGGGAGGGCGGGGGAGGGCGGTAGCAAGGAGGTAGATGGAAAACAGGAGGGGGTGGCTTGGCAGAGGGTGGGGGGTGGCTGTCATTCAGTTCCCACCCTTGCCAGCACTGCTTTTTCCTTCTCCGGCCCCGAAAAGCCGACCACCAGTTCTCCTCCCCTTCTGGTCCACAGCCCCGCACGCGCACATTCCTCGGCCGCGACCTTCCCCGGGAATTTCACATTGGAAATGCTCAGGTCCGACGCAATGCAGACGGTTGTGTTCCTGGCACAACTCCTCGGATGGGCGTGCGTTTGTGCAGCCCCGCGGTGATCCGCGTCTCGCCGCGCTGTCCGGCCCCTCCCGCAGAGGGGCTCTCTGCAGGCCCGGCCCGGCCGGTCCCCGCCGGCCTCGAGGGGAGATGCGGACTTGGGCTCTGCAGTTGGGGAAATCACCCGGGTTTGATCTCGGTCGCGCTGCTGAGAGGCAGAGGTGCTAAGAGCGTGTCCCTCTTTGACCTACGACGGGAGTTGAAGTTTGCTGGCCATCAGACTATTCTGAAATACCGAGAATGTGATTTAGGGGAAACCAAAGGCTTCTTGGGTTTACGGGCTTGTCTGCCAACTTGGTGCTAATTGGAATGAATCCGAGAAGCGAGTCGCTTGCCCACCTCCCACCCACGTCTGCCTTCCCGAAGCCTCTTTTCCCGACCTAGGGCCTTCTCAGGGCCACTTTGCAAGGCTGGCCACTTCTCGGGGAAAGGGTCCGCCCAGAGGCGCTGGGGGAGAGTGGGAGCCGGGGCCGTGAGCGAGGTGCTCGGAGTGCGGCTCCAGCTGCGCCCCCAAAGGCGCTGCTGCGCCTGGGCGCCTGCAGCGCGAGAGGAGGCAGCCAGCAGCTAGGGCACTTCAGTTGCTGCCGGGTCTCCAAGGAGGCTGCGAGCGCCCGGAGTCGCCGCCGATTGGCTCCGCGGCTGCCTAGGGACCACCCGTTCGCACCGCAGCCACCGCGCTGCCGCCAGCCTACACGCCTCCCGCCTACACCACCCACCCCTTTAATCAGAGCCAAAGATTGCATCCTCCCCGCTCTATTGTGGCTAGTGAGAGAGGCAGGGGCCTCTGCCGGTTTACCCAGGCGGTGCAGCAGTCCTGGGGACCAAACTAGTTAAGCTCCCCACCCACCAACTCCAGCTTTCCTTTCAGAGAAAATAAGTATTGTTCTTCCCACTCCCCCCGGCGGAGCGTATCCCAGCTTTTCTTTTACAAACAATGAGGTTGTGTTAAACCCCTCCTTTCCAAATTAAGCGCTGCCCTTTCCCCACCTTCCAAACACACACTCCTGTATCCGACGAAGTCTGCAGTTCCTTTCCTTTCCACCTTATTGCATAATTATTGAGAAAAAAAAAAAACACGAAGCTCTGCATTGAAATATTGTGTGGCTCAGATGGTAAAGAATCTGCCTTCAGTGTGGGAAGACCCTAGTTTGATCCCTGGGTGGGGGAAGGTCCCCTGGAGAAGGAACTGGCAATGCATTCCAGTATTCTTACCTGGAGAATCCCATGGACAGAGGAGCCTGGCGGGCTACAGTCCATGGGGTCGCAAAGAGTTGGACAGGACTGAGTGACCAACAAACACACACACACACACACACACACACACCTATTTTAGTTGCAGCAGCTATGGTTGCTAGTACTGTTACAGCCCTATCTGAGAGCAAATACCCTACTACTAGACCTGATAAACATTTTCTGACCATCTCCTAGCAATAAGGGGCTTCCCACCTTGCTCCTGTATCTCCCTTAACCTGTAGCACCCCCGCCTTCTCCTTTTAAAGTTTCTAAGACTGTCATCTCCCCAGCTTCCTGTGGATGCACTAGCACTGATTCATCATCGGGAGGTTGACTTACTAGAAGAGATTTACAGACTGGAGGAGATCCCAGATTTCTAAATCCAGGGTTTAATAAGGGGGCACAATAAGATCAGGAAGTTTTCAAGGTCCCTGGCAGATGTCTTTAGAACAGGTCTGGACCTCCAAGGAATTGGAAGAAAGTTGCTGAGCTAGGAACTCGCCTGATGCAGCCTTGCCATCGGTAAGGGTTTGAAGATGTTAATTTATTCAACAATTTGCTTAGCTCTAGTTTTGTGTCTTCCCTCGCGGCTCAAACAGTGAAAAAGCTGCCTGCAAT